TATAATTTATATTTTGGGGTGTTTGGGTATTTCTTTCTCCCTTTACTACTGATATTTTGATCATAAACTACAAAGTTAAAATTGAAGCAGGATGAATTTGTACAATGTATATTAACTTGGTTGTTGTAACTTAATTGCATGTAAGTAAGGGTGGATATTAAAGGGCTTTGATTTTGTATTTTTCTCCAGTGTGTTCAGTAAGAGTCATTGGAGATTCTGAATATATGCAAGAATTTTTTGAAGAAAATACTAAAAAGGTAAACAAAAAAGATTCACTGCTAAAAAGACAAACACTTTCTATGACTAATGAAAGTAGCCAATCAAAATCCACAAAGTAACAATGTCGTAACAACTTCAACAAAGAATACTCAGAATGTTCCACTTTGGCAAAGCTTAACTTCTTAAGGGATTTGCTCCACTGCACCACTTGCTAATTATTTTACTGTTCATTGTTGGAGAATAGTCCTCTTGTCTTTGGCTTATTACACTGACTTGTTCATTGTCTTCTTGCTACACATAACTTCTGCTTTAGTCTAGCTTCACATTCTTATGATGGCTTACACCAAAGATGCGAAAACTTCAAGTTTAGTGAAATTGAATGCATGGTTTAGATTGATGACGATATAAAATTTTGTTTTATAAATAAGTTATTTATTAAACATTTGATGATATATTTTGGTTTTGTCAAAAGAAGGAGGATGACAGTGGGATGGAAGTTGAATTAAGAATTATGCTACCAGATAATACAACAGTTATTGTTGCAGTACAAAAGAAATACAAAACTAGAGAAGTTTATAAGGTAGATATTAACAGTTAAAATGGAGGTGAGAATCCCCCCAGCTCATGAGTAACCTGACTAGAGAGGGCTTTTACGACAGCCATAGAATGATGTAAGCTTCAGGATGATGAACATCATATAACGAAAGATGTTTGTACTGAAGCTAAGCCAGGATTCATCATAATCACTATCCCAGTAAACGTCGGTTTTATATGGAAAAAACAGTCTACATTAGAAATGTCTTTTATGCTTTACATAATGTCTGCTGTGAAATGCCGCTATCAATAAAACACCACCAATTAAAGAATAATACATAGTTTAATAGTGCAAAGTACTTATTGAGTGCTTTTAGTGTTTGTACTCCAATTAATTTTAATCATTTCTCTTTTTAGGCATTGATTAAAAAATTAGGATTACGAGATGAAAATGCCATAAACTTTGCTCTTTTTGAAATAATGGATAATGGTGTAGGTGAGTTGTCAATATAAGCAGGATGAGAGATTGACACGTCTCTCTCAAAAAGAAACAAATTACAAAATAAAACATGCTTCTTTCCTAAAGAGGGGTTTCATGCCAACCAGCATGTTTAAGGGCAAGAACATTGCTTCGTTTTTACGTGAAAAAAGATTTTATAATTTTATATCCCAGAGAAAAAAATCATATTGTCTGCCATAAAGATGTACACCTATTTTATTGGGCTACCTGTGGTTTGGCAGAACATTTTTGCTCTCCCTTCAATATTCTGTTACTCTCTCGCTATGCCTCTGTTATTGAGTACAGTGGATTAATATGTCAATATGGATCAATATGTCAAAACCACAGGTTCTCCGTTTAAAGTATAAATATTCAAACATTCTAAACACTTTTTAAATAGTGTACAAAGTATGTTCTAAGGATCAATAGGACCTTCCATCTCACTTATTTAAAAAAATTTAAACACACCATTATTAGGAGCAATTGGCATGTAAATAAGAACCTGTTAAGAAACTACTCAGCTAAATATATAAGATCCAATACAGCCTGACTTGGGGGAAAATACTGGTTCTTACTGTATTCATTAACTTTTTTTTCTTAAAGAACGTAAACTCCGTCGTAATGAGTTTCCACATAGCCTGTACATCAGACGTTACACAGAGACTTCTGATACATGTCTTACGATAAGAAAATGGATCTTTACGCTATCGCGGGTGAGTGTATGTCTTGCTATGCATTCTCTATTCTCTGGTTTTCTTTTTACTCTTCCTATCATAGTTTTCTGTATAAGAACGAATTCTGATACAGCTCTGGGGTGTTTTCCATTTATAAACGAATCCATCTAGCCTGCTATGCAGATTTCTGAGCGAATAAAATTCGAGTCTGCAAGCAGAATACGTCCATCCGGATGGAAACTCGTTTGCTATATATAATAAGAAAAGAGCGGGAAATTTTGATTTTTGACATCTGACATGCGTCTACCCAAATAACCAAAAAGAGCGGTAAAAGTGGATTACATTAATGAAAGACCGCGTTTAAATTTTCCCCACTCCCCCTCCCCTCCTTCTTTCCCCAGTTCCCACTCCCCTTCCTCTCCCCAGTCCCCTTGCCTTCCCTTTGGGCCTCTACGCAAGCTAAGAACTTTCTGATCAGTTGGAATTTTCGATTTTTCTCGGTAAATGTTAAGCACCCCTGGTTTTGAATAAGCTTCTCTTGCCTCTGGCTTTACTGTGAAAAACAGCGCACCAATGGATTACCATAACTAAGAAAATTATATTTAGAACCCTTTGTTTTTGTCTGGAGTTCTTTGACTATGGGTCTAATAAAGGAAAGGAAAGAAGAAAAGGAAGGTTAAAGAAATGACGTGGGAAAAGATAGGATAGCAAGGGAAGGAATAAAAGTAATCATTTCCCCCTTCCACCTTCCTACTGACTTATAGCCAGTTAAACTGTCCCGTCCACATTCTCCAGCTTATGCTATCTAGCTCAACGAAAAGTGTATTCCTTTTTTTAATATTAGCTGATGTCGTTCATTGCAATAATGCAGATCATAGTTGTATTTGACCTATCTTCTTTCTATTTCACAGGAAGTTGCTATGGATAGTGATGAAGTGGCATTAAATCTTTTGTATCATCAGGTAGAGTCAGTGAATTTTTTCCCCTCGTGATTATAAAAACTGCTAATTTTCTTTTAAATGTTCATTGGTGTAATTCAAGAACTGGTGAAACATTTTGAGCATCATATTGGTTACAAAGCCACTAGTAGTGGTATGCCGTCAGACAACAAAGGGATCAGTGGAAATTGTCGCAGAAAAAGGCTGTCGCTGTTAAAAAAATTGAGTCAAACTTAGACCTTATTTCCAGTTAATCCATAAGTTGTCCATTCTAGAAGATGCCCATAAACAAATGCCTAAAGTACCACATCGGGTTAGATAGTAACTTAAAGCCATGTATATGACTCGCGTAATAGTATAAGACTCGCGTGATAGTAACACGAACAGAGATCAGTGGTAACCCACCAAGCAGGGCCTGAGTCATTAGATTGTCTGGCGTTACGAGGAAAAAATATAGATAGGGCGTACGGTGACAATTTTGACTTGAAAATGTGTTATCTGTTTACATAGTTTACCTGTTAATCTTAAAGGCTATAAGTTATTGGTGATACAACAGGTTCGGAAACCAATAAGAAATTATCCCTAGCTAAGACGATACGAAAGAAAATTCAACCCGGTTACCCGTTAGAAGGGTTACCCATATTAAACAAACCAGTTTACCACTAGATGTAACGACCTGGATGGGCTTGCAAAGGGGTTAAAATATACAAGAGGAAAAATGTGGAAGCTAGGGTACCCATATTACTAGGGTCCCCCTCCCCCCTCTCCCTCCTTCTCCTTGTAAATACGCACGCAAAGGCGGGAAAATGCGGCTTGGTATTAGGTGTGTATATTGAAATTTCTCAATTCTTTTCTCTGGTATAGCATGAAAATACGACGAGGATTTTGCCCTTGAAAAAAATGCTTCATCAAGAAGTGGGTTCGAGTAGGAAGATTACAACGCCGTAGCGAAAGTAAAAAAACCCCAGACCCCAGGGTAAATGCAGATGCATTGGTGTAAAACTTGGAAAGAAAATAGACTTTTCTAGATTAGCAGCGAAAATCTTAAGTGATTCCCCATCACAAAAATAATTACCGGAAACGTACATTATTTAAAATTTCCCCCTGTATGTCTAATTTCTTAAAAAAAGAGGTTTAGAAAACAATGCAAGTTTTTTGTTTTTGTTCAAAAAATCGTCACCCAAACCCCAAGGTTGGGATCCCTGTGGTGATTCTTGGGTGTCGGTCAAGTCTCAAAGGCTCATGGGATGTTAAAGACACGACCGCCATGTTGGGTGAATAGCTGGCTTTCTTTGTTAGTAAAATGCCTAAAAAGGTTAAATGTTGTGTTCCTGGGTGTGGAAATAACTACAAAACGGAAGGACCACTACATTTTTATCGGATTCCAAAAGATGCAGACATCAAGAATGCTTATAGACTGCTGCTACGAAACAAGTGTGTTCGACTCGATTCTGAAAATACAAGAATTTGCTCGGCCCATTTCGAAAGCGGCCTCAAGCTCAGTCGATGCCATCTTCCCAATATATTTCCTTGGAATAATGAAGAGGATGAAAAGACAGGTGAAAAACGTAAAAATTTAGAACAAATTGCCTCTGTCTTGAAGACAAAGAAAGCCAAATCCAACGTGTTATCAGACGAGCAGTTACGGGATCGTATTCAAGGCTATCAGTACCACGTTCCCTGGAGGTTTGACGGCGTCCCTTTACATCATGGAGTTGTTTCTTCTTTCAAAACACTCGAGGAACACGAACAAAATCGTACACAAACCGTCAATACAGCTGATATTCCAACGAGTTTGGTTGAATCAAATGAAGCGAAGCTGAATATAATTAGCTCCAACAGTCTATTCCAAACGCTTCAACAGTTAGGACAAAACCGTACTCTTCAAACCAGTAGTACTGTGAATAATCAACGAGATTTGATTCAAAGAGGCGCATCGGAATACAATGAGAACATCAATAACGCAGATATGCCGTCACAATCTATAAGATTCCATCCCGTTGCCACTGTCAATGTCCCTTTTACCTCCAGTCCTAACATGAATAATAATGCCATACCAAACACAGAACAAGTGCCTAAAGTATCAGTCACACTTGGTACTCTTGCTACACCAATCCAACAGTCTTTATCTAATGATAACTGGCCAGTAAGATCATCCCATACATATACTAGTCCATCGAAGAGTGTGTCATCTGGACCTTCACATGCATTAAACCAAATGTCGTCCATGAAGGGTGGTGGAATCCAAGTCTTGCATGTTGATAGAAACTTTTTCCAACCTGGTGTAGTAACGTCGAAGCAAGATAATGATATAAGTGTTCAAATATTAAATAACTCTCATGCGTCTATGGTTGATAATGTTGATCTTTCCATCCAAAACAGAAATTCTTCAGCTGTAGTTGCCCAGGAACAGTTTGATTCACCTCAGCCCTGCAGCAATTTTCCAGCAAGAAGTGATAACCATACTAAGATATACAAAGAAATTTCCAGTCAAACAGAAGTTTCTGAGGAAGATTTCCAGCAGATGGTCAAAAGAATGAATGGCATGCGGCATGAAAACAGGAATCTGAAAGAAGAAGTGGAAACTTTACGGAAAGCATTGCAGCAATTTAAAAATGTTCCACAATGTCAACAATTTGATATCACAAAACTTGAAAATAAGGACCTAACATTTTATACAGGTTTTGACAATTTGGAGTCATTAATGATGTTTTTAAGCATTGTTAAGGAAAGTGCTAAATTATTGCCTGTCTGGGGGAAAATACTAAAAGAAAGATTATCTGGAGATCCGGAAACAGATAATTTAACTATTCTGGGAGAACTGAGTTTGTTCATTATGAAAATTAAGTTGAACCTCCATGACACTGATCTGGCTCACAGGTTTGCTGTAACAGAAAGCAAAGTCCAGTCAGTTATTTACACTTGGTTACAAATATTTTATGCTTTTTCGCCTGGGAGCCCAGTTCACCAGCAGCTACCAGAATCAATTAAATCTGGACTGAGGGATTTTGGGATAGATTGGGGAAGAGAGTCTTTTTAAGCTGTTTATACACCACAAATCAAAGATTGGTTGAACTTTATTTATTCTTTTACTACCAATGTGAAATATACAGTGTAGGTTATTTATATAAAAAGAAAATACTGTATCACATTATGACTAGTAGAACAAAAAAAAGTTACTTGGTATTGTAAAAAGGAATAAGATATTATGTTTGTTTTTATCAACAAGTTGTAAATATTTAACAGTTATACGCAGAAGAATATTGAATATAATACCATATTCTCCGAGTCTGAAGTGAATATTTGTTGTAGTATAATATATTTTATACTTGAATATCAGAGAAAGGATAAAATTAAGGATAAAAATGTTTTAATATTACTTTTGCTTTGGAAACCTCATCAACTCAACTAGTGATCTGACCAATCACAGGACACAAAACCACATATTCAAGGCTAAAAATATACTCATTTTATATTTTATTTGAATAAGATTATTAAACTTGCTAACTATATGTTGTACATCTGTATACATTGATGTTTTCAAAAACTGAGTGTGAATCCAAAAATGTAAGACCAGTAGTAATATCCAAGTTTGAAATTCTCTGCTGATCAAAGTTAGCCTTGATTTTGTGTAGAATATTCAATAATCAATGTGTTCTAATAAAGGTCTGTGGAATTTCACAGTTTTTGTATTGATAAAGCTGTGCATTCTATACTTTATTTTTGGAATGAGTTGTTAATTAAGAAACAGTGGTTTTTATGAAATATTGGAAAAAAGATCTAGTATTTTATATTCAAAGACTTTTGTTAAAGAGTAGAATTATGTGATAAAGTGCAAACCTTATATCCCTGAAAGAGCACAAAAACTAAATGGCACTAAACACATCTATTTTAAAGGGGTACTAGCACGAAAATTGTCCAAATTTTAATTTAGCTGAAACTTTACTGGAATAACCCTTAAAGGTCTAATAATCACTGGTTAAAGTTTTTTCCTGATGTTTGGATGGCAAGTATATATTTTTGCGAATCTTTATAGGAATATGTGACGTCATTCACTCAACACTTAAAATCACTCTATACATTTCTTTGTATTTTTTAATCAAAATATCTTCTAGTTTTATACTCAGCATTGAAGAAGAGATACCATAAAATGATTCTAACTGCAAGTTATGTACTTTAAGTCCCTAAGCGGACCTTTGGGCTTAATATGATTAAAGTAAACATGAAGTTATTTACAAAGAAATGTATGGAGCGACGTTTAGTGTTGAGTGTATGACATCACAGACACCTATAGAAATTTGTGAAAATAAGGTACTTCCCATTAGAATATAAAGAAGCAACTTTAACCGGTGATTATTAAACCTTTAAAGATTATTCCATTGAAGTTTCAGCCGAATTAAATTTAGGAAGATTTTCATGCTAGTCCCCCTTCAATTGTTTCATTGCTGCTGTTTCATACTAATTAGTTAGTACTATTTCATGGATATACGGTTTGCATTGGAACCATTTCCATAGCTTTTGCAAATTCCATCTTTTTTGCATTTCCCAAAGGCTGCTGAAGATCTGAGGACAAGAAAAGTAAAAGTTGGAAATAAATTACAGAAGCTCAAGGAGTTGAAGGATACTGCCAAAAATTTAGAAGTAAGGAAGATATTGACAGAATGACTCCCTTCAAAGTGATTTTGTTCTAACCTTACAAATTTCATTAGAGTTCATTTACTATCTCCATGGATTTTAGGGTTTTCTCCAGATGTTCTGGTTTTCCTCTCTCTGCAAAACATAGCTAGCTATGCCCTAGCTGGCTATGCCCTTCATAAGCCCAGCGTCGTTTCAGGGTAGAAATAAGATTTGAAGGTTTCATCATTTTCATTTTTACGCCCAGTTCTGACTGGCGTTGTTGGGTGTGATGCATGTGTAAACTTGTTTGCATTAGGTGACATGAAAAACTTGTGTCGATAGAGTGATTTTATTGACATGTGTATTAAAAATAGTTCACATAATAGTTGGCTGGGAGCTTAATAGAGGATATACCTTAGATAAACCAGTAATATTATGTATTTTATCTACAGTACCTTAACATAGCAAGAACACTGGAGGGATATGGTACCGTGACATTCCCTCACTGTCCTTGTGATGCACGTAAAACAGGTCATGTGATTGTAGCTATAAGTATAAAGAATTTCCAAATGAATGCCTGTACAGATCAAGGAGAAATTGAGGTACAGTTACTAACAGCAAATGTATTTTTTTTAAATTAAGATAATGACAACAATTTTATTGGCTCCTTATAAATAAAAAGCATTCTTCTGATCCCCCCCCCCCCCATGAATTGTACCTGGAGTTCCAGTGTTTTGTAAAACCTGTCAGATGCTTCTCAGTAGCACAGCAAAGTCCACAAGCTCAGCATTTAATCTGAAGTGTCTTTCTGATTGTCCATTTGTTTGCTTAGAAGTGTACATGTTCCATTGCTATTTGCAAGAAAAATTAAGAATATTAACTACTTTTTCAGGCACAACAGCATATACTTGAATGGAAAGAAATCACCCAGTTTGACTCTGATACAGAGGCCATGGCATTCTGTTTTGAGTATGCCAAGGGTGGAAAAACAAGATGGGTTAAAATTTACTCAGAATTTGTAAGTATACTCAAATGATAAAGGTTGTGAAACATTCTGGCTAATTATTATTTACTCCTGTGGCATCTTCTTCATTTCAGTATGAATACATGACAGAATGTGTACAAAGAGTAATGCAAGAAATTGAGTGGAATGAAAATGTAAGTTCTAGCTTGTGATTCAGGAAATATGATCAGACGTGTAAATACAAGTGTATAAGAACAATTTATTTTGATAATGGATGGCAAATTAACATCACAATGCTAATGTTTGTAAACACCAACTAGTGCAGCTATAAATTATTCCACTAGTCAATCAGATTTAACCTGTTGTACAACCATATGCCCTGGCAGTTGTCTTACTATTCTTATTGACTAAAAGCAATTTAAAAAATAATAATTTTAAATAATTATATGTCATTTTGATTGAATAAAAAAAAAGACCCCTTTGGTATAATCTTTAATTATTAATTAATATCTGTGTCATGTAGGATGGGATTTCACCAGATGTGGCTGTGCTGCCAGAGGAATATAAAGCAACAGAACAACCAAAAGAAGAAGCTACAATAAAGGTATACTAGTCTTACTAATTAATGTGCTTAGTGCCGTCATGCCTTAGTTTAGTCAAAATTAATATCCTTTTACTAATGGGACGTCAGTAACTAGCATAATTGACCAAAACTACTTTCTCTATAAATATAATATCAGTAGTTTCATTCACCTTCATAGAGGTTTTGCACTATATCATTGCAGCAGCCATGTTAGATGGAAGGAACTAATCGTTTTACATGAGAAATAATGAAATTGAGAGGAAAAAGATTTTATATGACATCTAACATGCATGGCTTCCAGCACGTGATGGTGCAGAACTAGCTCTCTTGACATTAATATTCTGCAAAACAATAAAGCTTTGTAAGACTACTCCTTTTAGTTTGGTTTCAATAATAATAATWATTATTAATTATTTCATATCAAGAATGGGGAAATGTGGGCAAGAGTCTGGTTAGGGGTGACCCCCCCTTCCCCCTGCTAATGCCTTTATAAAGACTCAAGAATCCTTAAAGATGGAAATTTGCTACTAAACAATCAATGGGAAGGGGCTTTTCATTGGTGGATGGGGGTTATATAATTATATTTTTTTCTTTCAATTGGTTTCCCTTTACAGCATAACAAGCCACCAAGTCCATCAAGAACCAGAGCAAAATCAGGAAAATCAACAAAATCACTACCCACAAAGCAAACAGAGGTCTTTAGTGGTGCAATTGAAGATGATGATTTGTAAATGAAAGTAGATTATTATCACATTTGTAGAGATTTACATTATTTTATGCTATAAGTATAACTATTATTTAGTATGACTATGATCACTGTCAGTGGTAGATCAGCATATTATTATATCCCTCAGAATGACAGAGCAGAAAAACGACAAGGCTGCTACTTTTACGATTTGTTCTTTATCTCTCTTTCATGCTARARAACGTTTAGTGTTTCATTTGTTTCTCTTGTGCTTCAAACTTTTCACAAAATTCTGCTGGGAGGTATTAGTGAAAATGTTAGTTTTAGTGCTGATCAAAATATCATCTCTCCCAACGTTCAGGGCGTTATATCTCAAAATACGCATTCCTTAAATTTCCCCAAATTTTGGTATTTTGTTAATCAGCCCCAAAAGAGCCTGTTTATCAAATATATAAATCTTATTAACACATAAACGTCGCCCTGTCCCTCAGAATATTAGTATATTAATGAGTAAATATTAGCCTTGCCTACACATATATGCTTACATTTTATAAACCCCGGATGTTTATATTTTAAATGACTAAAATTAAACAAGCTACATCAAGAGTTTTGACTGAAGGAGTGTTTGGTCAAAATTTGGACTCTGAGTAACGTGACCCTGATGGAGGAAAGAGTGGAATCAAGCGAGGCAAAAAGTTGATTTTAACCTTGGAAATTAGCGTTAATGCCATTATATTAAATTTGGTAACCATAGCAATGGTATTTAAACTACTTGGGTAGGCTTACGAAATTTCCTCTTTCTCACTTTAATTTTAATTAGCAAACTTTAAGTACTGTTTACTAACGAGGAGTATTTTATCGGGTTTTGGAACCGTGAGGTGCAGTCGATTGTCTTTTGACCTGATAAAACATGATCTGTAAGTTTATTGAACTGCTTTGAAAACTTATGCATAATTCACAAACTTTTGGCGGAATAAGAGCCACCAAATACGTGGTTTGTACATCAATGTCATGTCATGTGCAATTGAGTCCAAAAAAAGGCTCCTGCAAGTTGAAGACAGCATGCAAAACTCTAGGCAGGGGCACTACCATGTAGCTGATAAGGTTACCAACAGTTTGTGTTGTTAGCATGCAGGCTATGTGCATGGTCGCTCTATCTGGTTCAGATGCTCATTAATTATTCATGACTTCATAAATTTTGACAAAGTGATGTCCAATTGAAAGATCTTGAAATTTTGTCCAAATTGGAACAGAAATTATGCTCAAATCCACTCTTACAGGGCAAGAGTATAATTTAATTTATTCACATACTTCTACACACTGGCTTTTGTATGTTAAACTGACAATGCAACGGGGGGTTGACTTTTACTTGGCCCATGAAAAGAATGGTCTTCATTAAATTAGCAGCACAGCTTACTAGCATTGCAAAGACACTAATATTATTATTATTGAAGTCAATACTTATATCAATTTATTCAATAGAAAATAAGGAAATAATTATCCACTAAAATATATATTTTATGTGGTGCTCTGGAAACATCCAGGGTTGTATTGGGGCTTTTAAAGCCCAAACGCATTATGTATGTGAAGGCAGTCATATTAGATATGGCAGGAATAATCAGTAAATTTCTGAGAGCAAATGGGTTTTGATCTGCCATCTGACCACGGGAAGCCCAAGAAGTATTATGGTATGGGCATGTGATGGTGCAAAATATCTATTGTGTAGTCCCAAAAATTATCCATACTCCCACAGAGGAATTTTTTTAAGACACCCCCCACCCCCTATCCCCGGAAATTCCAATTTTCTTCCACGCAAACTCTGTAATTTTAGTTCTTATGTAACTTTAGTTCTTATGGATAATTTCTGGAACTACRCATTGAAACACATAATTCATTGTTCAAAGAATTAATCTAATGACATTGCCATAATGCAGTATTAAATTTCATATGCAGCTAGTGTACATATATAGTACTAGTATTTGCTGGAAGGCACAAAATAAAATAATACCATTCAAATAAGTTAAAACAGCATTGAAAACTGAGGTGTCTTTAGAAGTGTCATTATGAGAATAGTATACATAAGACAATTAGTGCTAATTAATTGAACAAAAGAAAGTTTGCTAAGGATTCTGGTTGTTGAAGTTAAAAATGCCACAATGCAGTTTCCTATTCTAAGAATAAGACTCAAGGAAAAAAGTTCAAATTAATGAATGAAGAGAGATCTGCAGGCTGCGTACTTTTACCTTTTCCTATGGTAGGAGAAAGAAGTGAAGGAACTAGACTTCCTACAATAAATGATAATAATAATGGGGTTCTATAGCCATTTCACAATGTCTCAATGCGCTTTACAATGCAAAGGAGGACTTTACGGGCTGCATATTAAGGCGCTATTAGCAGTCGTGCAGCTTACAATCATGAGTGATTTATTAGTACGTCATTAGTGTTATGCCTCCAAATTGGGATAGGTTGTTGAACTGGGAGACAATCCCCTACTCTTACATGAATAATTCAACAGGTTCTTTTAATAATGTCCCCCAATTTACTGTAGGTTAGGAAGGGTTGGGAGACAGGGCCTACGGTTAAGTCCTTCTCCGAGAAGAGTTGAAGGTCTAACCATTGTAGGTCTAATCCACACCTCAATCTATGGTAACACCCCACTACTATAAACTGCTGACAGATATAGTAGCCAATTGACTACTTCAACAATATGGTGGCTATCTTGCCMGAGGGTAAAACTAAGAAAGATGACAAAATAATATATATAGTTTCATGTTTTATGGGTAAAGGTGGTTGATGTGCCATTTTAATCCATGTTTTGTTGTATTTTCCTGTAGTGAGCTGTTAATATCAATCACTCTTACTACTGTAACAAAGCTCTATTTTCCCCCTGGATGCCCCATAGTATGTACCTTGCAATCCAAGATTGCTGCTTTATTGTCAAAGTAGTCCATTGAAGCCAACCTTTCCGTAGAGTAATGCTGAGTAACTGACTCAATGAAATTTTCCTGTTCTTGTCTCCCAATCAGGGATATCCATAAAATAATGCATGTTTTTATCTGAGCTAAGTGTTGAGTACTGATTATAAATGTTGCAGAAAATAATAATAATGGCTAGACAGTTTATTTTTATTTTTGGCAGAACAAATATTAAATTTTGGTGAAGCAAAATTTCCTTTGTCATTTTTTTCCATTTGGCAGTTTATTATATGTTCTGTTGAGTATGCATAGGGCTCACAGCAGGGTAGCGTAAATTATCAAAAGCTTACATCAATGTCATTCAGAACCTTGAAAAATTTATTTTGTCCTAAAATAATAATTTATTCAGCAGCACTGGCTTTAGTTATAGCACTAGAACTATAGTATCAAGCAATACTGCACTTTAGTGTACAAAATTTAATAGCCTCAGATTTCCAGCTGTTGAGGTTTCTTGCACCAAAACCAGCCAAAAAGCTCGTAGTGAAGTTTGTTTACGGTTTCCCCTTGTTCACATACGAATCTTACTCAGTCTTTGCCTCATTTTCGATACTAATATGCGCCTGCGGTTCAACATTTCAGCGGTCTCCAGAAACAATACCAGCAACTCGAAAAGGGAGTATTCTCTGCACAACACCTGACAGCTGGACATCTGAGTCTAGTATAGAAACATCACAATAAGTTCATATTAAGTCCATTTTTGTATTATTATCTTTTCCCATTAAAGTCCTGTGATAGCTGTACATAAATAAACTTTGTGATTTTAAGAACAAGGAAGTATAAAACACACTGAACAATCAGTGCTCCAAAGCCCCTGTAAAATCCCAGAATGCCTTCTTCACGCCAGATAGTGCGGAAACAGTCCATCATACCAATATAATTTGTACTTAACGGCACTACATCATAACCGTTATCCAAATCATCAATTATGGTTCTTGTGCCTTGTACATATAGCCGATTAAGTACTGTACGAAATGGGTATAACATCAGGTTAGGGACGGCAAATGCCATAAAGTTTGCTGCGAGTTCTGGATAGTAGCACTGGGTCATATCATTTGGGGGCTGAGGTTCGTCACTTGATGATGGGCTTTCATTTTGAGACCCTGTTGGAATGAGGCCCACTTCACGCATGGAACGAAGAACCCAGTGCTGGACACATGTTTCGACGATATAATGAATAAGGCCATATAGCACTGTTGGTAATCCTATTGTCCACATGGGAAGGAGACGACCATGCCGACCAGATGAACGATTCCAGCCAACAAATCTGTAAAGACTGTCTTTGAGTGTGTCCAGTGCACTGTGGCCTCCTTTAATGTGATCAGTCTGCAAAGAAAAAAATTAATTCTTGCAGTGCTGGCAGACTTTTGGGCAGCCTTTTAATGCTTCTAAATGAATGGGTTATGGTAGTAACTGAGTCAGAGAAAATAAACTCTATCCCAATTAATAATTGTCTTTTGAAAGTCTCTCATACTAGATACACCAGTATTTTGGCAAATGACAGTACATGTATGAAGCTATTACCTTGACCGTTTCAACCAAACTTGCTGCTGCAATGGGCATGCTCACTATCAGACCCAAGCTAAAATGAATAAACCAAGGATATGACCATGTGTATTCAATTGAACTAAACGAATTATTCAAGACATCTAGTATTTACAAACAAAAACAAAACAAAAAAAACACACAAGGAATGTGATGTAAAGCAAAGCACATTACACAACTACCACCAGCTACTCAGATCTTGATTCCTAAACATTACTGTACATGTTAATTGCTGCTCTGAGGAGTATCTGTGGGTAGTACTCTCTTTGCAATGTTCTACACCTACCCTGTACGTCAGAACACTGAGGGCAATCAACATCAACCATTAGTGCCAATTACTTTGGGAAAGCATGGGTAGCACCCAATGCAAGTTGAGTCACATGGGGCATGGTGTCATATTTGAGTAAAATTGTTTGTTGGTGACCTAACCTTTCCCCATACTGTATATATACAAAACAATTTTTTTCAAACCTTTTAAGTAGCAAATGAGCCCCAACTTCTCTAACAGATGTTTCTTGGGTGGGTTTTTCTCTGAATAAATAAAAATTGGAGTTGAAAATTTTCATAAAGACTAGACATTATAATGATTATGGTTTTTTAAATAGAATTTCTGTCAGTAAAGTTTAACTTACTTTGGTAGTTGAGTCAAGGTGCTCAAAGCTGCCTCACTAAAGAAGTTCACAGCACAAACAATGTAGGTACTGCCATACCCTTTCCAAAGGGAGCTCAGGCCCTAAAATGTTTATATGATTGTATGGTATCAAATAATTTGTAATGCTAACAAGGGATCAGAGCATATGGCAGATTAATTGATCATTAATTTTTATTGGCTAAAGTTAACTGTGCACGATTGTTTACTATCCTTTTAATGCATTATATAAATTAAAAATTCTTCAAGTTGCGGTATTGTGCATGCTATCCACAATTATAGTGCACAAAGGAAAAACTCTATAGAGGCACCTTAATACGCTCTAATGACCCCAAAATAAACAGAAAATCAAGACAAAAATTGCTTTGTCTAGTATGTGACAGAAGGCTAGCTTTTCAGGTTGAAAGGCTATGAGATGACAACAGTTATTAGCTGAAGTCACTGAAGCTGGTCGTTCATACCTGTTTTCTTTCCAGCCTTGTCATGATTTGAAAAACTGTGAAGGGTGAGAGATGGAAGCTTGTGGCATTATTGTTGACCTGACACTGACGACCAAATACAACAAACGGATGTGATATTGCTTGAGCAACAAGCATGCTAACAAAGAAGAAAAAACATTATAAGTAAACAAAAAAGAAGCTCATAAAATAAAGCCTTTTTCATGCAGTAGCTGATGCACAGCTGTATTATTCCAAAGACTGTCAATGCTTCATGGGAAACATTTAATATGATACAGGGTTGTATGCCTTAAACATGTTTATTGTTGGCTAATATTCAATTTGACAAAAATCATTACAATAAGAAGTAGTTTCATGTGTGATATCAAAAACAAGTTTTAGCTTGTCCGACATAGCAACAGTAACTAGAAAAATGTTGTCTTATTTAAATTAATTTCATTTGTTATTTACCTGCCAGCCCCAACAGCAAATCCTGTGATCCTCTGTGCATTTTCTGGAAAAAAACCCAGAATCGATCTTGATGAACTAAAGTCTATAAGCATGAAAAATTTCTAACTAGAACTAATGATTTATGGGAACTCAACATTTCAGTCTATCATATGCCCTGTCCTATTATCATAGTACATACAAAATTCTTTTTATTTTGCTTTAGACTTTCATCTTTTGATAACAATAATCCTAATTTCAGTTGTTACTGGACATATAACTAGTGTACCAAGTGCCCTGCCATGCTGCTAGTTCTCACACGAAAGGATGGGTTGGTTGGATGTAGGGGGTATTAGGAACACATTCAACCTTGCAATTGACTGACCAGTGCAAAGTAGAATGGAATTTTTCAGTTTCCATAAGCTAATGTTGAAGATCAATACTATTATTCTGGATTAATTTTAATCATTTAATTTCCCCTACCATTATTATCTCATCGCATATTACTTTAAAAAATTAGTTTTTCTGTAAGATTTTTTAAATGTCAAAACACAGAGCGATGTACTGTAACCATTGCCAAAATGTGTAACATGATCAAGAAACAGTAATTCATGATCAGTGACGCGTAAAACATTTCACTAGAACTGTTTTTTTATGTAAGRACAAATGACAGCAAAATCCTCTGTCACTTCAATTTGCCGCCAAGCACTGCACCCCTCGTGAATTAATATGACTGTTCATCAACAGAAAAATAAGCTTTTCACAGTCTGATTTGCAGCCTTTTTGGTTGATTTTGGGGTCAAAAAAGGCGCTCAATCTTACAGCGCAAATACTCACCTATTTTGTATTCTTTTGGAGTCTTTGAGGCAATAGAATGTAAGACATTGTCTTCAGCTTGTGAGGAGGTATTAGGATCGGCCATGTTTGTTGGTGTATGGGGTTGTTTTTGCCGTGTAATATCTACCCCTGGTAGACGATCATACACCATATTGACCTGGTGAGCCTGCTAGATCAGCGGATACTTCTAACAAAAACACAGGTATCCCAATCTTTAAGACCGAAATCCCTTATTATTATCGGCTCTACAATTTTCATACATTTTAGTTAATTTTGGCAAAATAAATTTTGCTTAAATATATTCTAGTGTTTAGTATTTTGGATCTTATTGATAGAAAATAATTTCAACCAGGGAAATTTTACTATTTGCAAACCTTGCTTGATAGCATCGATCAACGCGATAATAATAGCTAATTTATTAAACTTCAGATTCAAATAAACCAAAAAAATATTCCTATACTTATAGTACACTCAACAAAATTACTCGACTCTGATTGGTCGAGAGGAGTACAATTATAGCGTTAATTGTACTCCGTAGAAGTACCGAATTAAGTTGCTATGGCAACGCGGCCAAAACAATGTCAGAACAATTATTTTCTATCATTTTGTACTTAAAAAACATATAAATAAAATTTCAAAGCCGTAAGAACTAATCTTTTTTATGCATTTCAGTTGCGTGATGGACTGAAAATCGGCCACCAAATAGACAAAGATGAACGGTGTCGCTTCGCATTTTTTACTGAAATTTTGTTGAGTGAACTATAAACAAAAAATCGCACGATCTTCTCGTACAATTTGGAATTAATAGACCCTCGTAATGTTTTGAAAATTCTTTAATTGCACTCGCCTAAAGGCTCGTGCAATTACAAGAACTTTCAAAACATTACTCGTGTCTATTAATTTCCAAATTGTACTCGAGATCGTGCGATTTCCTATAATACTTTATTATCCTAGATGATATTAGATGTCCAACAAAACCACAGGAAGCCCAATAAAAATACCCAGTCCCTCACGTCCATTTGTTGTTTACTCCGTTTCAACTTGGCTGAACTTTTTTTATTCGAAGTCAGTGGATTCTGTATGCTTTTCTCTAAAAACCAACGAAATCATACTTTTTGGTAATACATACCATCGAATTCAGTACCTCGAGGCGTTATATTCTAGTTGTATTAACTGTTTTTGCAATTTTTAAGGCTGTCTTAATCCAGTAAGGGGAGGACGGTCGATCAAATAAGTGTTCAACATGGGCGCTGTATTGGCGTTATGCACGGCAGCACAGGTAAGATAACTAAATACAAGAAAAGCTCCCTTTAAATCGAGTATTAAGTCGGTGTTGTTGATGTAAGGTGATAGTATTTGTCTCACGAATCGAACATTTAGTAACACCAAAGAACAAGTGCTCGACAGAAATACATAAGCTTCTTATATTATTTGTTTTGTGTATCGATGTCATAAGATATATTATTTACTAGAAATATTTCTTCGCTCTTCTTCTGTTTGGGTTTAATAGTTCATAAATTGCATAGATCGAGGAAATTTAAAAATTATTTTTTWAAAAAGCTATAATTTATCCATCGGATTATATGGAATCGAATTATAGCTACTAATTTGAATAACTATATATTGTTCTGGATTGACTAGCCTCTCATATACAGGTTTTCATAATAGTCATTCAACGTGGTAGCCATATTTTGATTCCATGTATATTTCTAGTGTGCATGGTGTTGCTGTCCAGTTGCTGTTGGCTGCTGTTGTTCCTGTTGTCCCTCATGTAAAAGTTCCACGTCAACTCGTATCATGTACAGCATTTTCTTGCTTCTCGGCACTGGCGTCTCCTGTTTGATGTTGTCATCCAAAGTACAGCATGCCATGGTTGAAAATGTAAGTTGGAAATTTTCAGTGTATTTTATGGCAGCCATGTTATTTAAGGTGTGAAAAAAATTCCCTTAGAAACTTACAAGGGCAATAGAATTTTTTTTTWATAAAAAACTTCCTTCATCAGGGCTTTACGGTGCAGTGCACCTATAACCATGGCCACCCAACTTATTTTTTTACAAATGCTGTTGAGTCCTTTCCCGCCAAAAGTTTTCATCAATTTAAGAGACTTTTAACAAAAGAGCCCAAAATTAGCCAGCAAAGGGAACAAAATAGGTATCACCTAGGCAAATCCCTAGCCATTATATTAAGTTTTTGTTGCAAAGCGTACCAAATAATTTTAAATGATTTTAATTGTGGTCATGCAAATTATGCACAAATTCTCGCTGTCTGATAAGTGAACTAGTAAAAAAATAAGTTGGGAGGCCACAGTTAGAAGCGTCAAAYTGAAAATAACGGCTGGTCAGTCTCCGGTCATGATGTCCAGCCAAATTAGTTTTAGCTATTATGCATGTCATACCTCTAGCTCGAAATGACCGACTAGGGACAGATTTGACCTACAAATTCCAGTTCCAGCTGATGACTAGCTAGTATTTTAAATTGCTGTTTGCTAAATACAGTACTTATAGTGACAAGGGGGAATTATATTATATATCCAGCCAATAGACCTTATTCATGGTGTTTTTATAACTCGTCTGGATATCATCGTTATTCCTTTTGTACCCTTTGGGATATTCATGAATTTTTCGAAGAGTAAAAACAAAAGAAAATTAATGCCCTGGAGGTTCCTCACACTGAATTGAGAAAACATTATCGCACCAGAAAGGTCTATTGACATTTTGCTGTTCCAGGAAATATACATGCATGTACCCCCACCACAGAGGGAATTGTAAAAAGACCCCCCTACTCCAATTTTGTTCTTTCTCTGACCACACTTTCCTCTAGGGTTTCCAATTTCCTCCTTGGGTGGGTTATAATATGAAGGGCTTCTGACAGGATGCGCGGGTGCGGACCCGCATAATTCGCCTTTTTCCGCACAATCGAACGATTTCCGCATAATCCGGCAAAATCCCGCATAATTTGTCAAAAGTCTAAAGAAAACTTAATAATCAAGAAGAATGTATTATAATGTTTTCTTATTTTGATAAAATTACGAATTTTTTATAGTTTACTTACCAAATTTCAAGCAATAAACAGCGTTTAAAACTGTATATTGAATCATACGTGTAATGAAAAGGAACAAGGCGTTCTTAGTTAAAAACCGTGAAAGTGCCTGGTAACTAGCCTTAAATAAAACGTACTCTCTGATTGGCTAGAAGGGTATTCGCAGACAAGATTTTCGCGCGTAAAATAATATTTCTCTCGTAAACATTTGAGATCTAGCGACTTCTAAAATAGCTCAAAATGGATAAATGTATTATGAAGCCGTTAAATATGGAAAGAAATTAAGAAATTAACACGACTTAAATTATGCTATTTATAAGGATTTTTTTGCTGAGCTTCAAAAACAGATCATAAATTTAAGGTTTCAAAAAAAAAAAAACATTCAAAGCAATGTTTTGGAGAGAAGCATATTAGGGAGAAGAATTGCGTGTAGTGCGAAAAACACGACGATTACACGTGTGGATTAAAAACCTGAGATAAACAAGGCCAGTGTCAAATAAAGAAGCAAAATCAAGGTAAAACTGTAAATAATTGCGTAAAACTTTAGTTAAACAAAGTTTGGAGCTAAATAAAGAAGCAAAATTTATAAAAAAAAGTGTATAATCCTGTAAAAAAAAAAATTCAGAAATTTTTTCGATTGTGACGTCATCCCTCATCCTATTCCGCATAATTTGCCATTTTCTCCGCATAATCCAGAAAAAAATCCCGCATAATTTCAATTTTTTTCCCGCATCCTGTCAGAAGCTCTGAATATGGATATTTTCTAGAAATACACATTCTGTCTACAATGCGTGTTTTGGGGATGATGAAAATCTACAATTCATAAAGACTGAGATGTAATATGAAAAGAGGAGTTGCTTAAAGGGTAGAATACTGGTATACACTCTGGATATACACTGCACAATATGTAGCCCCATCCCTCAATCTAATAATGATTAAAATTCCCTCACTTAATACTCAGTCGCTTTTATGTACTATTAAATTACTTTGTTGAAGGTACCATTTGGGCTGTTTGACAAAGCATGTTCTGAGGCTGGAGCAGGAAGCAACTGTGATCAGTTGACAGGATATCTTGCTGTTTATCGTGTGTGCTTTGCTATGGCTTGTTTCTTTTTTCTGTTGATGCTCATTACTATCGGTGTCAAGTCAAACAAGGACCCTAGAGGAGGAATCCATAATGGGTAAGATATCTTTAAGAATACATTTTTTTAATTTATAAGACAGTGTTAAAAGGTTAATAATTATTGTACAGTTTATGTCAGCCGGTCATGATATATCAGTTTGTTGTGGCTGGGGTTCGGTTCTAGGGCTTAGAATGTTTTTCCATTTCAGACCACGTGTCATTCCCTTGAGAATAAGTCAGATTCTTTGTTTGAGTTGTATCCATATATTTCATGTCTTCTTATGTGCAACTGAGTGCAACTGTAATCAAATAAATGATACTCTAGGGAATGACACATTCTATTATATGGGAAAACATATTACACGTCCAAGACAAAAATTTACCTGCAGAAAAATTCCAATTTTGGCTGGACTTTGTTTAGTGATCAGCTTGAACGCTTGTGATCTGTGTTTAGTTCCTATTATCATTATTTTCTTTTCATCTTAATTATTTGATTAAACTTTGGATTAATGATTAAAAAATGCTGCTGAGTTTTAGTGTTATTTTTCAATCATACACAGTATATTGAGCACTACTCATAATGCATCTGTTTATTCAGTATACAAGGCAAACAATAAGCAAACAATAATATACCAATTATTTCATTACGTGGTCTATGTAGATACTGGCTGATTAAACTGCTTGCGTTGATTGGACTTTGTGTTGGTGCTTTTTATATTCCAAGAGGGGATTTTGGAGTTGGTAGGTACAAGAAGTTAATTAGTTAACATTTTGTTTACAAAATTAGAATTAATATGGACTCGATTTTACATAGACTGCATCATTTTTGTTATTTRATAAATGAAGTCCTTCTATATCATGACGTTTAAATTATTCATTCCTGAGCGTATCCAACAGCACCCAACAGGACAAACCTAAATAAACCTACATTTGTAGGCGACTGAAGTTGGGGGAAAAAGGATTTTCATAAAATGAATCAATTTTAAATAAATCTATTTACAACATCCTTGGTGTGTTGTAATGCCTTGGGCATCCTTGGTGTGTTATATGGCAAATTTAAAACCCATACAACACTGCTGCTCATGTCGTAAACATTACATACAATACACACTTCTAGATGGGTTAACTATATGATCACATAATTTAATTTTGAATGCATGCAATCTCATTTAAAGCGCATTTCAACAAAAAGTACTTAATACTAACTTTGACTTCGATTTTTTGTGAATTAGTTTGGATGTACTTTGGGTTCATTGGCGCATTCATGTTTCTATTCATCCAGGTTATATTGCTGGTAGACTTCGCTCACACATGGAACGAGCGCTGGTAATGATTTTCAATTCACCTTTTGAGCACTAGCCATCACATGGTATGGATTGTGTTATGTTCACCAAGAAGTTCAGACATTGTTCTTGGATTTCCTTACAAATGTACTGACTTTTAAACAAATTATTTACTTGTTTTTTTTTAAAGTTAGCTCTCTAAATACAAGCAAAAATATCATTTCTCTAACTTGATTGAAGCTTTTCTTACTGCTGTTTAGAAAAGTAACCAAAGAAATTGATCTGAAATGGTAACTTAAATGTAAAAAGGAGGAAAACAGTGCTAGTTATGGCCAGAGTCCGTGGCCAGTAGGTTCTTTAATAATTTTCGTTAAAGAATGAAAACGTTTATTTTCATTGAGATCTTAGTTGTATGAAATACCGCAATGTATATAAAATCCTGCTTAATTTGATTATCCATGCTTTTCAGGACATCAAATGCAGAGGAATCAGACAACAAGTGCTGGTACATTGGTAAGCTTAAATTAAACCCTTTATTTTTATACTAATTTTTAACGTAAGATAAATATTTTTAATTACGATTATCAAGAAAGCTAACTAAAGGTCCCTCTGAACAACACATATTTTTTGCTGATGAGCATTCTATCTCTTAGGGCTGTTTTTCTTCATGGCTTTGTTTTATTGTTTGGCTCTGACTGCATTTATCCTTGGTTATGTTTACTTCACTGAAGTGAGTAATTAATAGTATTATATATATTACAGTAATTACCATTTTTTGTTAAATAATCTAGCATTTCAAAGTTTCAGGACTTTCATACTATGGGAYCATTTCTTTTTTATGGGCATGGAGGGGGGAGGGGTTGCTTGTGGAAGTTAGGGGCACATAAAAAATATGGCATTTTTGGGGTGCACCCCAAAAAGTGATTACTATACCTAAATAGAAAATGAATTTATAAAAACAATTTCCCAATTTTAATATAGAGCAATGTAAAAAGAATTCAATTCAGAAAATCCCATCAGCCGCCCTCATACCTGTAAAAAAAGAATGGTCCCACAGTAGAATTTATTTCTCAAATTTGCAGTGCTCTCGCAGAAAATTACCATGTATGCATTGTCCATCCCTCCTTTACAAGTTTTAATTTTTTATTTCTTGATTTCTCCAGGCCTCAGGATGTCACCTCAATAAGTTCTTCATCAGTTTTAACCTGATTCTGTGTGTTGTCATCTCTGTTATTTCTATTCTTCCAAAAGTGCAGGAAGGTATTGATTAAAAGATGTAGAACAGATCTAGAAACCATTGGTAATCTGCCATGTACATGAAACTGCTGTTAGCTGTGATTTCTGCAATAGAAACTCAGAGGTTTCATAAGTTTTAAAATGATTTCATAGGAGAATATCATGAAGTTGCCAGTGATTCCTGGGGACCAATTTCTAAATTGCCAAGCTATAAATGGTAGTTTAGCCAAAATATTTTGCTCATTTACCGGAACATTCTCCCCAGATCCCCCACCCTTAATGAAACATCTGGAAACTGAGCTGTGCATTTAAAATGAAGGGCAGTAGGTACCATGACATCAAAACGTCTTTACAGAAGATGTGTGGGAGGTGCATAGTATAAACTGTAGTTCTAACTTACTCCTAAGATCTGCACTCTAACCAACTGAGCTAGATCTATGCAACACATATATTTCATATACCATTCATTTTGGTGTATGCTAACAAATATCTAAAATTATTACCGAATATCTTCTCTAGTTCAACCAAGGTCTGGTCTCTTACAAGCTTCAATTATTTCTTTATACACTGGATATCTGACTGTATCAGCACTTGCAAATGAGCCCTTGGAACCAGGTAGAGTACAATCATATTATCAGAGATCGTACAGTACCAACATTTTACATTTTCAAAATTTGGATGCTATATAAAAAATGCTATGTAAACAGGGCCTAAGGTATCATCTTTCATTTGGGGTAAAACCCATCTACAAAACGTTGATTGTATAATTATCTTTAACGTTTTATAGTTCGTATTGGCAATACGACGGTGAACACCGTGTGTGGAAGTGCAAGAGGTATATCCAGTATTACTGGGTCTGGAGTGACTGGATCAGAAACGACTGTACTTGTAATTGGACTGGTCATTCTTTTTGTTACTGTCATTTATTCCAGGTACATGGATAAATTTATAAACAATATTTATCTATTTCATTTTATTTTATAAAGCTATTGCCTCACATAAAAGAATAAATTGCATGCAGGTAGTACTCAGTAGTCTACGCATTTTTTTCTTTAGTTTGAGGACGGGTAGTTCAGACCGAATGAGTACAAGCACTAAAACATCTGGTAAGTACCGCACCGTATTTTTTTCCCTAACATAATATAATTTTGCGCCATTATTTTATCAGGCAAGTGAATTATCTTTTATAACTATACACCGTTCTCAYAATGGCTGAAAAGGGCACGAAAACGAGGTCACCCAGTCATTAGTTCACAATACAAGATATAAAAGTACATTAAATGACTTTATAAGAGAAAAGTATAGAAATTTAACTCTTGTTTTGACCAGTATTCGCGCTATCCACCTTTATTTTGAATGAGCAGCCTTGCTCAGCCTTGCAAGATGACTGGGTGATCTCGTTTTTGTGCCCTCTTCAGCCATTATAAAGAAGGGTGTATAACCTAAAGTAAACTAAATTGTCTATACCTAATCATGGAGGTGACCTGACCTAATGGACCAAATCCTATCTGCTTCGGAGCAGATGTTCATATTTATGGCTAGGAATCTAAAGTAAAGGCCGAGGTAAGACTCTTCTGGCAGCGAAAGCCTGACTACTGACTTACCCTTTTATTCGTAGGTGATGGCGAAGAAGGAACGAAGGTTACAGATGATGAAGAAGATGAAGTCACTTACAGCTATTCTTTTTTCAACTTCATATTCTTTTTGGCTTCACTGTTTATTATGATGACGCTTACCAACTGGTACAGGTAAGACTGTGTTGTGTGTTACTTACCGCGCCATGGAATTTCTACGTTACAAAATATTGAAGAGGTGAAAAGAAAGAAAAGTACTCAGTGGTACACACACAMAAAAAAGAGAGCAAAAGAGAAAGAAAGAGAACAAGAGAAAAGGAAAGAAAAAGAAAGAAAAAAGAAGTGAAGGTAGATAGGAAGAAGGAAATTGAAAGGAAGAGAAGAGACGAAAACGAAAAGGACAGCGAAAGAAAACCAAAAAAAATGAAGGAAAGTAGGGAGAAAGAAAGTGGAAGAAGGAGAGGGAAAAAGAATTCAAAAGAAAAAAATTAAAAGAATCATGACGTTTTTAGAACTTATGTGACCTATAACCTTATACAGTGTCTAAAAATGTTTGCTGTCGAAGATTGCCTGATTTCGTGCCATGTTTTTTACCTTTAGCCCTCAAGGCTCGACCTTGGAGAAATTCCAGAGGAACTGGGGCTCAGTGTGGGTGAAGATGATTTGCACGTGGCTATGTCACGTGATATACCTGTGGACGATTGTGGCGCCGATCTGTTTTCCAAACAGGGACTTCGGTGGTGGACCGATATAAAAACGTGTCCTCATGTCCATTGATGTCCCCAAATGTCCCCTTATTTAGATTAACGACTCCTTTATAGACCCCTTGCAGCACGTCGGAATGAAGCTCAATTTGGAGGACATAACAATTGGTTTCTAATTCTCAAGAAATTCTTTTGTTTTGTCCTTCAAATTGAGCTGCTTTGACGTGGCATGCAAGGGATCTATTCACACCGGATAAAGACTTTGTCGGTCAAAATATCGATGCACTTGCTTCTAGAGTCAGTTAACTCTTTAGAAGCATAACTGTTAATCCACTACATTATTCACTCTTAACAGAAGCTTGACTTCACCTACATTATATAATACCTAGCTTTTATGTCTTAAAAATCACTAGTGACATATAGAGGCTTTAGTTAGACATATTTGTGACAATGTTTCASTAGACAACATGTTTAAAAACACTGTAATATTTGTACTGCAACAGTACTGAAACCTTTTCCAATCGCGATTAAGGAATTGCATGGAGAGACTGGAATAAACTGGAAAGTCCGACTCGTCAGGCGTGCTGGAAGTCCAGAGTATCTTGAATTTGTCACTGGTGTTGAATTCACTGGTTAGGGTTAGGTATAGTTTTACATTTGCAGTGCTTTTAATATATTGGAAGCGTACGGTACTGATAAAACACGACAAGCTACTGTATGCCTCTTAAGTGCAGTGTTCAAACACTGTGACGTAAGACTGGAACTATGGCCAAACATGGGTGCCATATCGTTTAGGCAAATCTTTAGCTTTTCGTTAAAAGAATAGTCGTGTTTATCATCATACTTAAACAGTTTCAGTTTCTCTTATAGCAACCCGAGGAAGGGATTTTATTGTTAATCTAACAAGACTTATGCACATCCTTTCCACAAGCCAATGAAGTAGTATAGGGAATGGGGGTTCCAGCGCAATCTCAACACGGGGTAAGACCCGCGTCAAAAATCCACCTACGGACGACCCCCACTCCAAGTGTGGTTGAGGGCAA